TCATCGAGTGAAGCTCCCATAAATCTTAGAGAATCAATAAATCGTAATTTAATTTGATGTTCGTCAGATTGTAATGTAAAGGAAATGTATTTTTCTTTGTTTATGGGAAGTAAGCTCAAGTGCCCATGCTTGCAAAGATCTATAATCATAAAATGCGAATCGTAGCCACTAAAATTATGAAATACGATTGGGACGACAAACAATTTTTTAAAGTTCAAATTACATGCTTGGTGCGCAAATCCCCGTACTTGTCCAGTAAAATGATCGTGATCTACAACAACTGTATCTGTAGCCAAAAAGCAATTTTCACCTCTCCATGCAATTTTCACCTCTATAGCTATTAAAATAAGATAAACTATCATCGTACGCACATTTCAAATAATAACCTGCACTAAAAGGTACATGTTTCTGATATTTTGCTGTTTTACTCACTGAGACATTTGAATCTGTAAAATTATGTAATTGGCATTCAAAATCGGCATAAACTATAAACGGAGTTGTTTGTTTGTATGTAAAATTGCGAAAAGCCACATGATCATATTTGGGAACAGTCATTTTACATTTATTCACATCTGAACACATTTCTTCGTGCTCTGCTAGTTTGCTGTCACTGCTAAAATAGTTTAAACAACGATCGCAAATATATTTTCTATTGTGTTTCTTGTTTACCTGTGACCTCACTAATTTTCCCAAATCTTTAATCCAACAATAATGAAGGCGTATTTCAGTCTGATCATCATCTTCTGGAGGAGCATCGTAATCGTTTAACTTTGGGAAATATTTATCTTGTATAAGGAGCAAATTAACATGCTTTTCCATCTTTTGCGGTGTCAGTCTGGCAGGTACTACTTCGTAAAATTGTTTGTCCTTAACTACGTTTAATTCTAATGCAAAAACATTGACTGATATGGCGTTTAATTTTTCAAATTTTGAAATTTGGCTTAATGGCATTGGGCTTTCTAATTTGTCAGTTTGTAAAACAGTAGAATAATGTGGATATTTTGAAACTCTCTGTGGATCCTTAGTAACAGGATACAGAGCGCTAACTATTGACCAATAAAAACAAGCCTGATCGAAGTTATGCACATTAATGCACGCTCGTTTTTTCTGAATCTCTATTGGCAAATTAATGAACGATGAACCATTTCCTATTTCCACTTTATTAATATTGACTTCTAATGAGATTACTTTAGACAGAGCAGCACCCGAATCTTTTTCTGCAAACTCCGACAGCTTTGTAAAAATTTTATCCTTAACATTTTCACTAAACCAAAGATGTAAATCGGTCGATGCGTCTATAATAGCATTTTTAGTGTTAAAATATTTTAAATCTAAACTTTCGCTATCACTCGATTTTTTAATGAATTCACCGCAAAATGTAGTATTGACTTTAAGCAATCTATTTGTTTTTAAATTACTGTTAATTTTTCTACTAAAAATAATATAACAATCATTTAGGAACTGTGTTACGTCCTTATGCACTAAATTAACTATAACTCCAGTTTTAATTCGACTAGCAAAACATGAAATGACATTTTCCCATTTAACTCTATTGCGTAATTTTGAATTAAGCCCCAACCCAACGTACTTATTATTGAAATTTAAAATAATTTGCCTAAAATGCTTAAAATGTCCTATGTAAGTTTGCACTTTTCTAACTGTTCCTACGGATAGTTTATTGTTTTTAATTACTTTACTACATCTAAAAATTTGACTATTTAACCGTCTTGTCCAAACTTTACGATCTCTTTCAGTGAATTTATCGAAAATTATTTTACTAAGCTTTTTAATAATGTGCATCAAATCATCAGACTGTTTAATCACTTGTTTTATATGCATGGCTACTCACACAAACAAACAATAAGAAAAAATCACTTACCTTATTCAACTATCTTAAAGGATGCAAGGAGTCTGCTTTTTCCAATATCAACTTCCCCTTCGTATATCAGCGAATAGTTTCCGCTGTTGAGGTCCGTTAGTGCTGCTTGGTAGGCTTTGGTTACCCGCTGTGGTAAGAAGACAACTTCAGCACCCAAATCCAGCAGAACTGTCTCCCCAAATTGTGTTGTTACCACCTTTGCACTGTGGATGGTAAATTTTTTTCCAATTTGTAGATCTTTAAGTTTTTTTATTGGCTTACGTTCTGCAACCAAGGATGCATTATTTAGTTTTGATAGATCCATCTACAATAATAATAAAAAACTATAGTTTTTCCACTTAACGTGAATGGAGAGATGCATTACATACTTGGCAATAGAGAAGAACCATATACTACAAGAAATCGAAATACGAACAGCGGAGAATACTTCTTATAAAAAATAGCAGACGTGAAATGTTTTACACATAGATAGAAACACCCACATAGATAAAAAGGACATAATAAATACAAAAACAGTATACATTTTTCATAAAATACTGCATGAAATACGAACAGAGAGCTGAACAATTCTCATAAAATACAATGATAAAAAGGACATAATAAATACATAGAAATATAAAAAAGACAAAAACCGCTTACCTTTATCTGATATATGTAAGTCACTGCACACCGTATTGACTACTGCGAACTTGTTGTTGTTGTAGTACGTTTGCGAAGCGAACTGTGACAACGTATGCGCTCCTCGGCCTTTTAAAGAACAGAACAGCATATCGCCCCACCCGAGCCCGAGTTGCGTCAACCTAATGTGCCTACGGTACCATCAACTGATTCGTTTCATAGATAAGCAACGTGTGCTGTTCTAGAAATGCTAATATTTTTATATTTATTTTTATTTCTTCAACTAATATTTATGGTAATATAATAAATAGATATTGCGGTAAGAGAATCGTTGTTATCAATTTAGAATTTTGTTGATGTGGTTGCTGATATCTTCATACATTTTACAAAATGTAGCAACTGCGGTTTTCTTTCCGGTGTACTTGTTTTTCCAATGATTAAAATAAAATTTGTTATCACACTTGTTTACGTGTTTTGAACAACGCGGTGTATTGTTATCATGAGGCTTCATCCGGTTTGCTAACAAATGCACTATTTTAACATATTATTATTTAAAATATTTCTGTCTTAATATTTCAGTATATAATTCTGTTTTTGTGAATTTTGTATAAATAACTATAGTACCAATTTTTTTGGAAATTAGTATAAATCAAGATGCTGGTCTCTTTACATGTCTTATTGTTGCTCTCTGTATCTGTGAGTGCAGAGAATAGCACTCTGGCGTATGCTAGTTCTTTTCTTAAACGTTTCGGATATCTAAATACATCAAATAATGCTCTTTCTAGTATAGATATGGCCCTAGTTGCTTTTCAGGAAAAATACAATCTTCCTGTGACTGGAACATTAAATAATGATACTATAAATATGATTATGAATAAGCCTCGATGTTCTGTTGGTGACAATAGCTATGCAATTTATTCGAAGTGGAATAAAACGATTTTACGCTGGTATTTCCCTCGTGCCGCTGCATATGTGTCACTGAAGGCATCTGAATGTCTCTGTTATGACGCTCTGTTACCCTCTGTGTACCTCTGCTACCCTCTGTTACCCTCTGCTACCCTCTGTTACCCTCTGCTACCCTCTATTGTCCTCTGTTATTGTGTCTTTGTCTTTTAAAATGTCGAACGTCACGTCACAACGTCACACGTCACGACATTTCACGTCCTACGTCGAATGTCACGTCAATTCACGTGACATTTCACGTTTTGTGTCGAATGCCACATAAATGACACGTCTTACGTCGAATGTCACGTCTTGCGTCAAATGTCACGAGACATTTCACGTTCTGTGTTGAATGTCACATAAATGTCACGTCCTGCGTCGAATGTCACGTCAATTCACGTGACATTTCACGTTTTGTGTCGAATGTCACATAAATGTCACGTCCTGCGTCGAATGTCACGTCAATTCACGTGACATTTCACGTTTTGTGTCGAATGCCACATAAATGACACGTCTTACGTCGAATGTCACGTCCTGCGTCAAATGTCACGAGACATTTCACGTTCTGTGTTGAATGTCACATACCTGTCACCTCCTGCGTCAAATTTCACGACATTTCACGTTCTGTGTTGAATGTCACATACCTGTCACCTCCTGCGTCAAATTTCACGACATTTCACGTTCTGTGTTGAATGTCACATACCTGTCAACTCCTGCGTCAAATTTCACGACATTTCACGTTCTGTGTTGAATGTCACATAACTGTCACGTCCTGCGACAAATGTCACGTCCTACGTCAACGTTCTCTTAGCCACTGTACTGAAACGAAGAAGAAGAATGTTCAAGCGTTGACATGGCTTCTGTGTGTGTGTGTGTATGTGTCACCAACGCTTTCATTTGACACTTCATACGTCAAAATCAAGCCAATAGCAACAAAGATACGTTTTAACGCCCATTTGGCAACGTCGCCATCTTTGTTTTTTGTGTCAAAGTATTCCCCGTCTTATCCCCGTTCCATCGAGCCCTCGTACGCCCCGATCGGACCAATAGAAACGAAGATACCCCATAATGACCTTTTGGCATGCTCCGATGCGCACGGCACATACTGCATTCAACCCCATTTTTCATCCCCTTTCCAACGAGCCCTCGTACGTCATCCTACGTTAAGCCGTTTGGAACTTACGACCGGGGGTTGCGATTTTAGGGGTTGCAATTTAGGGGTTGCGCTCAAAGACCCCTAGTATATCTACTTACATCCCACTACTTCTACTATTGAAATACGTATCATTCATTCTAACATTGTAAAATATATTTGTATTATGTAGGTCAACAAGTCAATAAATAAGAAATACACTTTTTTGAGGCTGATGACTGTTAAATATATGTAGTTGTATATGGAATGTTAATTTTAATGCTAAATCCAAAAATAATAATCTGACACGGGCTTTTCATTGTAAGCCTACGTAATATATACAACGGTTTTACATCCGTATATCAATTAACATTATTACATACCGAATCTGATTAAATAGATCAAATCTGATTATCGCCAAAATTTTAGGTTTACAATTGCGCAACACTGGCGACGACACTCGAATGCCGGTAGATGGCTCCACTACAGGGTCGGATTCAGCTAGTAGGCTTCCGAGGCACCATCACAACATTTATGGACATCCTTATGATCCGGAGTATACTCAAATGGAATCATGGCTGGATGAGCATCCAGATTTTGTTAATGATTATTTCCTGAGGTAAGTATACATGTGCTGACATTCTTTATACCAACATTTTTACTTTAAGATTTTATAAAGGATATACCTACTGTATCGTTACGTTTTATACTTACACAAATACTGTATCCCAGTAATTTGTAACCTGTGCGTTTTAAAGAATGAATTAAGGTGTTTCTTAAAGTTTCTGAACAAGAATCTGGAATTATTTTCGATCTAAAATGAAGAACACGATGTGAAAATGACGACAAAGTTTTTTTAATGTTTTTTTTATGCTAATATGCTGCCTCTTTACTTATATTTCTTTTTCAAATTTTTACGGAATATTACTTGGACCATTTCACATAAAAGTAGTTTTTAAATGTTTCTTAAACATTTTTTGCGTAATTTTACTTACAATAGTGAATGATAAAAATATCGGGTTGTAGAAAAACAAGCTATTTGGTATTAGAATATAGCACTACATGTTCTGTAAACCATAAAGAAGAGTAGAGAACACGTAACATCGAAGCATTATCAGGCGTAGTTCTAACCTTATATCCCGACAACAAAGAAACTTTTTAAGTTTAATAAATGATGTACGTGCTATTTCAATACGTGTCTTAATTTCTTTGGTTTGGTCTACATCTGATGTTATCCATGTTCCTAAGTATATATAGTTATTAACACTCTCAATTGCAGTATCTTCAATAGTCAATTGGATATTTGCATGTGCAGATTTAGCCATGATCATGCATTTAGTTTTCTTTAAATTTATCTTCAGTCCGTACTCATGACAGCGTTCATTAAGGCGTTGCATTAGATTCTGTAAATCATTGTTGTTATCCGTAATTATTACTGTATCGTCTGCAAAACGTAAGTTATTCAAAACTTCTCCATTGATAGATATACCTTCTATTGAGTCTGAGAGCGCTTCTTGAAATACCGCTTCACTGTAGACATTGAAAAGTAGTGGTGACAGCACGCAACCCTGGCGGACTCCTCTCTGTATTTTGATATTTTCGGTGTACTGGCTGTCAACTCTTACCTTGGCAGTTTGATTCCAATATAAATTAGATACAATTTTCAGATCACGACTGTCAATATTTTTGCTTTTTAATATATCTACAAGCTTTCTATGTTGAACTTTATCAAATGCCTTTTCAAAGTCTACAAAACATAAGTACATATCCTGATTCATGTCCATGCATCTCTGAGCCAGCACATTCAAGCCGAACAAAGCATCTCTTATACTCATACCATTTCTAAAGCATCCAACAGTAAGAATACAAAATAAATACAATAATTTTCAAGGAAACTGAATTCCGGTAGTTGGCTGTATAGTATCAATCACATTTTTTTACTTAAAAAATTCCTTTATAAAATGTATATTAATATAAAAACCCTATTGGCTACATTACACAAGGTTTTCCGAAGTGTATTATTCCGAAGTAATTCCGAATAATGAATTCCATCATTAGTGCTATCCTAAAGTAAGTATTACCACTTTAATTAGAGCAAATGTGAAATTTAAAATTTTGACCAAGGTTATAACAAAAATGTGGTTTAATACTTACTGAATTTATATTTTTGAAACCACTAAATATGTGAGTAAAAACATTTTAAATGTAGTTAAATTAACTTTTTGTTTCCAAAGTTATACTGTCTACCAAAAATTCACAAGTCATATAACTCTCCGCCTTATTATCAGCTCAATCAACTCGACTTACAACCTCTCCAATTATTTGGTTAACATCCTAACCGTTACTATTGACGATCAAACCAACTACAATGTGAAATATACATATACGTTTTTAACACAAATCAATAATTGTACAATCCCCCATTACGTGTTCTTATTTCAATATAGTAATTCCACGAATTCCACGAAAAAACTGGAGGAAAAAAGCACGAAACAGATCAGAATGAAGAAGAATCTTGGAACAGGCCAAAACCCAAAAAGGTTTGTCAAGCCAGTGATGATGATGATAAATTCCACGAATACCGTTTAAGTTACCATTCATATACAAATATGTGGAAGATGTGATAAGTGCGATCCCCGAGGACAGTATTCAAACTACACTGGATATTTTCAGTGGATTTCACAAACACCTACAATTCACCGCTGAGATTGAGCAAGACCAAAGTAGTTTTTAGACACTAAGGTAATAAGAACATCAGAGAATAAGATCATTCTGGATTGGTATCAAAAACCAACAGACTCCGGAAGATTTATAAATTATTTCTCTCAGCACTCAAAAAGCCAAAAACATGTCACTGTTTTTGCGACTAAGAACAGAATTTTGCACATTGCAGAATTTAAAAACATTATACAACATATTGTTGAATAACGGCTATCCTAGTAAAATTCTCAAGCGAATAATCTACAGTATTGGAAGATTCAAAACGGAACATACGAATTATTAATACAATTATTAAGATCCCCTGACCTGCAATTACCCAGTGTAAATTTCAATATAACGTCGCGATGTCTTATAATTAATTCATTTGTTCGACTGGACTCCTTCTCCAGTCGATATTTTTCGACTGCTGCGCACGTGCGCACCTTAATAAGACGACTAATAGTTGATTGTGTCGGTATTCGCCTATCTTCATACGCACAAGTAAATAAATTTATAATATCACGGTACGAGTTGCCCCCATAATACCATTTTAAAATTTGTACTTTTTCTTTGTTTGTATACATGGTTTATGGTTAGAAACACTACTTTTATTTCAGCTTATGGCGTTATAATGAGAAGCAAAGCAAAGGGCATGTATTTGTTTTGCTCGGCCAGTGATGTTCCTTGGGACTGTTGCCAAATCGATAGATACCTTCGGCAAAAATCTGTAGATTTTGATGTATCATATACATCCTTTTAAATTTTAAATTATCAACAATATTTGGAATAATAAATATATTAAACTATACACTAACCAATTCAAATAATATCTAATGAACACAAAAAAATTGTTATTAATAAAACATTGTTATTATCTGCACAAAAACACAGAAAATCAGTGGACGATAGACAACAGTGTCGACGTACACCTGTCGAATACGCTACTAGAAATCGCCAAGGAGTAGCAATCCAGTCGAACAAATGAATTAATTATAAGACATCGCGACGTTATATTGAAATTTACAGTGGGTAATTGCAGGTCAGGGGATCTTAATAATTGTATTAATAATTCGTATGTTCCGTTTTGAATCTTCCAATACTGTATATGATGACACTGTGAAAACAGACCAACAGAGCCCGTTATTTACAAAAAGTTATCCTACGCAGATGGCTTAACTAACAATGTAATTACGGCTTATTCTCGAAGCTTACAGTCCAGACACCGCTTCTATATCAAAGTCATCTAATTTACCAACTTTCTTGTTTCGAATGTGATGGAAAGTATATAGGGCAAACATCGAAGTGGTAAATCAAAGAGTAACTCAGCACAAAAGTGATTACAAAACAGAGAAAAATTCTTATGCAGTAGCACACCATTCTGACAAAACAGACCACACATTTAATTTATCAGATGTCTAGTACTTGGAAATAGAAAACAACTATAAACAAAGACTATTTCTCAAAATGTACCACATCAACAAAAATAAAAAGTCAATTAATTATAAGACAGACACATGCAAGTTAAGCAAAATATTTTGAAATTTTAAAATTCTGATAAACTAAAAATATCAAACACAACTCTTTCGATGGGTAATAAAACTCGTTGGACCTAATGACACATGTGAAAAAATAGACCGAAATCAGTGCCGCTTCTTACGTTCGTAGAACAACATTTGTGTCTCTCCGATACAATGTTTTTCATAAAATAAAATACAGCATTTCGTAAGTTATAATATTGTGAATGTTATGTGTGTATCTAACTGTTAGGTAATTTTGTAATATGTTTCTGACGAACTCCAGAAATAAATGTAGTTTCAATTTAAGCCTCAGACCATGGTCCCCACATTTTAAGAAGATTCTTTTGGACTAAAACATAAATATAAAGTATACACAAAAAATATTTCAGGTCGCAATGTCAAACAGACGTCCAGATCAAAGGACCCGTTTTGAAACCTGTAATCTACTATAATAAAATCGTTAAAAAATAAGTCAGAATGTGTAAAATATTCTTAAAAAATGTAAAATCAAATTTGACATCGGATAGGGACCTCTAGTCGATTTCTGTTCTGGGAGTTATAGATCCTCAAGAAATTAAAAAACTAATTGAAGACAAAAGAAAAGGAATTCGGACACACGTTTTGTCACTCGATCATATCGTTGTCTTACGATCTCGCTAGTGTTGTTCTAATAAAACATTATAAGCTAACCATACTACGCCCCTGACCTTACCTGTATTATGATCTTTTCACTAATTTGAAGGAGTTCTTTAGTGGTCATCGGTTTTCGAACTATAGTAGGTCACTGAAACTGAAAAAGAGGCTTTAAGCAGAAGATATGTGGCGAAGTATACTATAGCTTGTGTCCGTGTTTAAAAAATGCATTTATCTCAGTGGTGCTTATCGAGAAATGATATTTTTAGACCCTCGCGATAAATTTCATTAAACAATTTTCGATTTTTAACCAATGTATTTCTACTTTCTGTATGTCCTCCGTACATTTGCAAATTGCCTCTTTACATTTGTAGTATCTATCCCATTTACATGTAGGAGCTAGTTTATCTCAAAAACAAATTGCCGATAGAACGCATTATCTTAAGCCTCTTAATGGTTATGACACGCGATAGAGTGCTATTGATTTTTTTCTAGTGTTCCTTTTATTTGATGATAAATATTGAGTATAACATGTTGTAGTTATAAAGTATTTATATTGTGTTTCTCGTGTCCTGTATAAAATACCCTCCTTGTAGTTCCTCTTTATCCAGTTAATTTATGAATTAATAAATGAAATGAGGTTGAATGCTCGAATAAATGAACTTTGAAAATAAGGCTATTATCGAGCACAAAATAATTAAATCAAGCCCAATTGGCTTGATTTAATTATTTTGTGCTCGATAATAGCCTTATTTTCAAAGTTAATTTA